GGGGGGGGGTCCAGGGTGGAAATTGAGGGGTCTAAGGGGGTCTGGGGGGTGGTTAAAGGGGTCTGGGGGTCAGTGGGGGAAATTGGGGGTTCTGTGGGGATTTATGGGGGATCCGGGGGGCGAGGCAGAAAACCTGTGGGGGGTCTGGGGGGACAGACATCGATGGGACCTCCCGGCTGGGTGGGGGGTCCGTGGGGGTCGTGGAAAGAGTCCTAGGGGGTGTCACAGGGGGACATTTGGGGACATTTGGGGACCCTCTGAGCCACCTCGTTCTTCTGGAGCAGCAGCTGCACCGAGGGCAGGTCCTTCCCGTGGTCCGTGGACATGGCCAGGGCCTGGCGCTCCTGCACCCACAGCTGGGGACACGGGGGGACATTGGGGTCATTGGGGACATTGGGGACATTGGGGTCATTGGGGACATTGGGGACATTGGGGACATGGGGACATTTGGGACACAGGAGGATACTGGGGACATTGGGGACATTGGGGTCATTTGGGACATTGGGGACATTGGGGACATTGGGGGACATTGGGGACACAGGAGGATACTGGGGTCATTTGGGACATTGGGGACATTGGGGACATGGGGACATTGGGGGTCCAGGACACTGCAGGGATGGGGATGGGGGGGACTCAGGGATTTGGGGTCAGGGACAGCCATGGAGGGGAGAGAATTTGGGGTTCAGAGTCCCTGAGAGGGGTCAGAGATTCGGGGTGAGGGATTTGGGGTCAGAGATTTGGGGTCAGAGATTTGGGGTCAGGGATTTGGGGTCAGGAATTCGGGGTCAGAGATTCGGGGTCAGAGATTCGGGGTCAGGGATTCGGGGTCAGGGATTTGGGGTCAGGGATTCGGGGTCAGGGATTCGGGGTGAGGAATGGGGGTCAGGCACGGGACACCAAGCACCCCGGGGCTCAGTGGCAGCACCGGGGGCCATCCCCGCACTCACCAGCTCGTCCTCCAGGTCCCTGCGGAACTGGTGCAGTTCCCTGGCGGCCGCGAGGCTCCGGCCGCGCTCCTGCAGCGGCTCCCGCAGCTCCCGGAACTGCTGCTCCAGCTCCCGCACCTGCTCCTGCACCCCCGCGCTCCGGGGGTGCCCCGGGCTGAGCCCCCCGGCCTCCGCCCGCAGAGCCCCCACCTCCTGCTCCCGCAGCGCCGCCTGCGTCTCCAGCAGCTGCGGGGGTTTGGGGGGTCAGGAACGCCCGGGGGGCCCCAAAATCTGCACCCCAAAACTTGAACCCGCACCCAAATCCCTGCATCACAGACCTGCATTCACAAATCTGCATCCCAAAACGTGAACTCCCAGAACTCGCACCCAAAACCAACGCTCCCAAACCTGGGGACTCCAAAACTGCATCCCGAAACCTGCACCCAAAACCCTGAACCCCAAAAACCCGAATCCCAAAAACCTGAACCCAAATCCTGCATCCAAAACCCTGAACCCCAAAAACCTGAACCCCAATCCTGCATCCAAAACCCTGAACCCCAAAAACCTGAACCCAAATCCTGCATCCAAAACCCTGAACCCCAAAAACCTGAACCCAAATCCTGCATCCAAAACCCTGAACCCCAAAATCCTGAACCCAAATCCTGCATCCAAAACCCTGAACACCCCAAAACCCAGAGCACCCCAAAATCTGCACCCTAAGCCTTCACCCCAAAACCTGGGTGTCCCAAACCTTCATCCCACACCCACCCCAAAGCCCACCCCCCAAACCTGTACCCCTTCCCCCCCTTTCCCCCCCATTTCCCAGACCCTTTCCCTGACCTGGTGCCGGGTGAGCAGGACCCCGACGCTGGTCAGGTCCTGGCCGCAGTGGCCGGAGCGGAGCTGGGCACGGACTCCGGCCAGCCACGAGCGGAGTCCGGCGCAGGCCTGGGCGCAGCTCTCGGCGCGCGCGGCCTCGGCCAAACCCCGGCCCTTGGCGGCCGCCGCCGCCTCCACCTGCGCCCACAGCGCCCGCAGCTCCTGCCGGGGCGCGGTCACTCGTCCGGCCAGCGCCGGCCGCGCCCGCGCCAGCTGCTCCCCGTCCTGCGGGACACGGGAACGGCGGCGGGGAGTTACGGGCTGGACCCCGGAACCGGCGCGGTCGGACCCAAAACGCCGTGGGACGGCCAAGGTTGGGATTGTGGGATGGTTGAGGTCGGACCCGTTTAGTTGTGGGGTGGTGAAGGTTGGACACACGGGATGGTGGAATCATCGAAACCAGACCCGTGGAACCATCAAGGTTGGACCCAAAAAATCATGGAATTGTCAATGTGGGACACGTGGGATCCTTGAGGTCGATCCAGTAAATTGTGGGATTAGGAAGATTGGACCCATGGAATCGTGGAATTATTAAGGCTGGACCCATGGAATGGCTGAGGTTGGACCCACGGAATTTTGAGACAACTTCCCTCACCCATATCCCACCTTTCCCAAGGAACGCCCCTTCCCAGATCCCGTTTTCCCCCCGTTTCCCCCCCGTTTTCCCCCGTTTTTTTCCCCCTGTTCCCACCTTCTCCAGCGCCTCCAGCCAGGCCCGGTTGGCCGCGAGCTCAGCGGCGAAGGCCTGGTGCTTCTGCCACTTGCCCTGCAGGTCCCGCGTGCCCTCGTAGGACACGTCCCGAGCCACCGGCAGCTTCTCGTTCAGCCACAGCGTCAGCTGGGAACGGGAACGGGACCGGGACCGGGAACGGGAACGGGACCGGGAACCGGACCGGGAATGGGAACGGGATTGTGAATGGGAACGGGATTGGGAATGGGAAGGGGATTGGGAATAGGAATGGGATCGAGGACACGGGTCAGGATCTCCTCCCACAGCCCCAGCCCAGCCCAGTTCTCATCTTCATCCCACCCCCATTTTAACCCCACCCATCCCTCATCTACATCCCGATCCCGATCCCGATCCCGTCTCACCTCCTGCCCATCCTGCAGGAATTTCTGCAGCTCCCAGTTATCCCGCAGCCGCCCCAGCAGCTCCTGGGCCGATTCCCGGATCTTCTGGTGCCTGTGCCAGGGTCGGGGGGGTGAGAGACCCCATTCCCAGGGGATGGGACGGGGACCGGGACCGGGACCGGGACCGGGACGGGTCTCCCTCACCTGCTCTCCACCGACTCCACCGTCTCCCGCACCTTTTCCGCGTGGACGCCGCCCTCGTCCAGCAGCTTCTTCCCGGTGTCCGTGAGCGCCCGGACGCGCTCGGCTCCGGTGTCCAGTGCGGCCAGGAACTCCTCCAGCCTCCGCACGGCCGCCTCCGCGCCCGGCACCGTGCCCGGCATCTCCGTGTGCGCCAGAGCGTGCTCCTGCGCACCGGGACCGGGATCGGAACCGGGACCGGGATCGGAACCGGGACCGGGATCGGAACCGGGACCGGGATCGGAACCGGGACCGGGATCGGAACCGGGACCGGGATCGGAACCGGGACCGGGATCGGAACCGGGACCGGGATCGGAACCGGGACCGGGATCGGAACCGGGACCGGGATCGGAACCGGGACCGGGATCGGAACCGGGACCGGGATCGGAACCGGGACCGGGATCGGAACCGGGACCGGGATCGGAACCGGGACCGGGATCGGAACCGGGACCGGGATCGGAACCGGGACCGGGATCGGAACCGGGACCGGGATCGGAACCGGGACCGGGATCGGAACCGGGACCGGGACCGGGATCGGGATGGCACCGGAGCCCCGGCATTCCCCGCAACACCCCGGCTCCCCCTCACCTGCTTCCCCAGCGCTCCCTCCACCTGCTTGGCGTCCCGCAGGAACACGTGGAATGCGACAGCCTGGGCCAGGAGCCGCTGCCGCTTCTCCCACACCCGGCCCAGCTCTTCCCAGTCCGCGTCCAGCGCTTCCAGGCGCTGGAGCAGGGTCAGGCTCTGCGGGTCCGTCTGTCCCCGCGTCACCTCCCGGCCGGCGGTGCGGGCGCTCCGGTAATCGGCGCCGTAGTGCGAGATCTCGGTGCGGAGGCTCTCGTGCTGCCGCAGGGAGCCCTCGGCCTCGGCCAGGGACGCGGGGACATCCTCGGAGCCCGCGGCCGCGCGTGTGCGGGACAGCCAGGCCTGGAGCGCAGCCAGGTCCCGCAGGAAGCCCTGGAGCCGCCGCGCCTGCCCCAGGGACTCCTCGCGGCTCCGGTGGCACCGGCGCAGCGCGTCCCACTCGGCCTCGAGCCCCGCCAGCCCCTCGCGGATCTCGGGCGCTCGCTCCGGCTGCTCCCCCTGCAGCTTCTCGCCCTCGGCCCGCAGCTCCCGCAGCTTTCCCTGGATGGCGTCCAGGTCGCGCCCCATCCCCGACAGCTTCCCCTGCAGCGCCGTGATCCCGGCCAGGTCCCGGCCCAGCGCCCGCGTGGCCTCGATCGCCGCCGTCTTCTCCCGCATCCAGCCCCGCGTCTCGTGGCATTCCAGGCGGAAATTGTGGATGTTCAGCGCCGCGGTCAGCGCCACCTTCTTGCGCTCGGTCAGCGCCCGGAACCGCTCCCACCTGGCACGGGCGGGATCGGGGCGCGGTGGGACAGAGCCCGGGGAGCGCTCCCGACCTGAAGAATCCATCCCTGGAGCGTCCCAGGCTGGAGAATCCATCCCTGGAGCGTCCCACGCTGGAGAATCCATCCCTTCCCAGAGTATCCCGGCCTGGGAAACCCCTCCCTGCATCCCTGGAGCATCCTCGACCGCCCGGAGAATCCATCCCCGCCCGGAACACTTCCCTCCGCCCGGAGAATCCCCGAGCGCCTGGAAAATCCATCCCCGCCCGGATCCACCCGCAATTCCTGGCCGGAATGAGCCCGCCAGGCCCGCCCCCACCTGTCCCGGAGCTGCTCCCAGGTTTCCCGGGCGCTCTCCCGGTTCCTGTCCCCGGATCCCTGGAGCTCCTGCGTGACGCGGCCCACGGAGGCCACGCGCGCCGCCAGCGCCGCCAGCTCCGGCTCCAGCGTCTCGAACCTGCGGGAGCGCCGGGAATGACCGGGAATACCGGGAATACCGAGCTGGGGCTGGGAATTCAGGGAACAGCGGAAACCCCAGCAACGCCGTGCCAGAAACCCTGGGAATACCGCAAATTCCGGGAATACTGCAAATCCTGGGAATACTGCGCTGGGGGTGGGAATTTTGGGAGCGCTGGGGATAGGGTGTTGGAGGTGGGAATTTTGGGAGTGCTGGGAATATCTCACGTCAAGGTGAGAATTCAGAGAGTACAAGGAATGCTGTGTTGGGAGTGAAAATTCTGGGAAAACGGGAACACCCGGAACACTGGGAATGTTGTGGTGGAGGTAGGAACTCAGGGAACACTGGGAATACTGGAGAGATCCCGAGGAAAAACGGGAATAAAGGGGGGATCTCGTGTATTCTTGGGAAAATTCCTGGGGGAATCCCAGCGGGGGCGAGTCCAGGATTTCCCTGGGAATAATTCTGGGATTTCCACGGCTCAGCGCGGGGCGCTCACCGCTGCTGCACCACCTCCAGGTCCTCGATGCGCTCGGGAATTTCCATGGAGAGCAGCCACTGCTCCCTCTCGCCCACCCAGAGCGCGCAGGCATCGGCCTCGCTGCGCGCCGCGAACAATCCCAGCGCGTCCCGCAGCTCCAGGCGCCGCAGCTCCGCCCGCGCCTCCAGCTCCCGGTGCCGCCGCTCCAGCTCCGCCAGCCGCTCCGCCAGCCCCGGCACCACATCGGGAACTCCGGCGGCATCGCCGGGCAGCGCCTGCTCCCGCAGCGCCGCCAGCGCCGGCCCGCGCCGCCGCATCTCGTCCTGCAGCTCCCGCAGCCGCCGCTCCAGGATCCCCGCGGATCTCTCGTCGTGGCCGAGCTCCGGCCCCGCCACTCTCCGGGCGGCGGCCGCCAGCCAGGCCTCGGCCTCGGCAGCCTCCGCGTCCAGCTGGAATCGCCCCGCGGCCGCTCGGAGCCGCCGCTCCCGAGCCCCGGCCAGCGCCGGCAGCGCCGCCCAGAGCGACTCCAGCTCCCGGATCCGGCGGGACACGGCGGCCGCGGGGTCCGGGCAGCCGGGAGTGGGGCCCGGGAGTCCCTCAGGGCCTTCTGGGCATCCCACAGCGGGTTCCGAGGGTCTGGAGGCGGATGCCGAGAGTCCCTCCGAGGATCCAGGGGTGGATTCCACGGGTCCAGCAGCGCGTCCCAGGGATGCGCTCTTGGATTCCGCGGGTCCCGGGGGAGGTTCCATGGATTTGGCGGTGGATCCAGCAGCGGATTCGGCGGGCTTCGCGCTTCCCATCGATCCGGCGGCGGATCCCGTTGATCCAGGGGTGGCTTCCATGGATCCGGCGGCTCCGTCGGGGTCTCCCTGCGCCAGCAGCTCCCGGCCCCGCTCCAGCAGCTGCTCCAGCGGCCCCGCGCGTCCCCCCAGCGCCCCTCGGATGGCTTCGAGCTGGCTCAGCATCCGCAGGGCCCCCGGCAGGTCCCGGCCCAGCTCCGGGCAGCGCAGGAGCCGCTCCTGCTCTCGCATCCAGGCCTCCTCCTCGCCCGCATCCCACAGGAACTTCCAGAGGCGCCGGGAGCGCTCCAGCCGCAGCCGCCGCTGCGCCGACAGCGCCGAGAGCCCCCGGTAGCGCAGCTCCAGAGCCGCCACCCGGGCCCGCAGCTGCTCCGGGGGACACGGGCGGTACCCTGGGGGCACGGGCGGGGGTCAGCGGGGCTTGGCAGGACCCGGGGGTCCCGGGGATTGGGAGTCCTGGGGTCTGGAATCCCCAGGGTTCAGGGGTACGGCGTTTGGGGATCCCAATTTTTGAGGGTCCCAAGGTCCGGGATTCCGGGATCCCGAGGATTTGGGAGAGGCAGCGTTTGGGGGTCCTGGGGGTCTGGGATTTGGAGGTCCCAGGGTTCAGGGATCCGATGTTTTGGGGTCTCAGTTTTTGGGGGTCCTGAGATTTGAGGGTCCGTTTTGGGGTTCTGGTAGGTCCCAGTTTTGGGGAGGTGCGTGGGGGTCCCAGGATTCAAGTGTCCTTGGGTTTGGGGGTTCCAGGGCATCACAGGGGTCCCAATTTTGGGGGTCACTCACCGCCCCCCTCCCCGAGGAAGCGCTCGGCCGCCGCCCCCACACTCCGGACCCTCTCGGCCTGGGCCGCCACGTCCCCCTCGACCAGGGCGTGGATCTGCAGCAGATCGTCCACCTGGCTCAGGTGCTGCCCGAAATCCCGCGACTGCAGCCGCACCTGGGGACCCGGGGGACACGGGGGGAGGTCACCGGGAGAGGGTCCCACCAGGGGACCCCACCCCCCCGGTCCCCTCCCCACCTCCATCTCCTCCATCCAGCCCATCAGGTGCTCCAGGTCGCGCAGGAGCCGCTGCAGCTCCAGGTGCGCCCGGAGCCGCTCTCGCCTCGCCGCCACCTGCGCCCGCAGCGCCTCCCAAAGCGACACCACGTGGTCGCGCCGTGTCGCGATACCGCTCATGTCGTGATAGCGCTCGGCCTCCAGCTCGGCGGCCACGGCGGTGACGGCGCGCACGCGGCTGCCGTAGGCGGCGATGTCGCTCTCGATGGCCTCGTGTTTGCGCAGAGCGGCCTCGACCCCCCCCAGGGACCCCCCGAAATTGTCCTGGGGGGGGGAAAGGGGCGTGAGGGGTTGGGACACTCCAGGGACCCCCCCCAAAATTGTCCTGGGTGGGGGGAAGGGCGGGAGGGGTGACAAAGGAGGGGGACGCGCCCTGAAATTGTCCTGGTGGGGACAGGGGGAGTCCCCTGTGCCACAGGGTTGTGATTTGGGGGTGTTTTGGGGTTGATTTGGGGTCGCGGGGGGTGTCGGGGGTTGCTGGGTGGGGGGTCCCGGTGTCACCTGTGCCACCAGGCGCTGGTTGTCCCCCAGCCAGGTCTCCCTGAGGGCGGCCTTGCGGTGGAACCTCGCCGCCAGCTGCTCCAGGTGCTGCTGCCGGAGCAGCTCCGAGCGCAGCGCCAGCTCCCGGCCGTGCTCCGCCTTCTCCAGCCGCTCCCACGCCTGCGGGCACCGCACGGTCACCTGGGGCACCCGGGACACCTGGCATGTGTCACCTGGGGCACCTGGCATGTGTCACCTGGGGCACCCGGGACACCCGGCATGTGTCACCTGGGGCACCCGGGACACCTGGGGACACCTGGGGCACCTGGCACTTGTGTAATTGAGTCCCCTCCCGTGTCCCCCCCATCCCCTGTCCCTGTTACCCCCCTGTCCCCTGTCCCTGTCCCTGTCCCTGTCCCTGTCCCTGTCCCTGTCCCTGTCCCTGTCCCTGTCCCTGTCCCCCTGTTGATGTCGGTGCTGTGTGTCCCTCGTGTTCCCCATGTCCCCCCTGTGCCCCCCCTGTCCCCCCATGCTCCCATCCCTGTCCCCTGTCCCTGTCACCCTGTTGATGTCGGTGCTGTGGGTCCCCTCCCGAGGCACGAACTGTCGCTGGTTGTTGGCTCGCAGGCGGCTCCGGAGCGAGAACAGCAGCACCTCCAGGGACCCCTTGTCCTCGAACCTGTGGGGGTGACCCCAAAATACACCAGGGGACCCCAAAACCCACCCCGGGGGGACCCCAAAACCCACCCCGGGGGGACCCCAAAACCCACCCCAGGGGGACCCCAAAACCCATCCCGGGGGGGGCCCAAAACCCATCCCGGGAGGACCCTAAAACCCACCCTGGGGGGACCCTAAAACCCACTCCAAGCCTCAGAGAAACCCCAAAGCCCCTCAGAGGGAAACTGAAACCCACTGGGGGGACCCCAAACCCCCCTGGGGAACCCCCCGAGCCCACTCTGCCCCCCAGCCCAATTTGGGGCTCACCGGGGGGGTTTCTCGGTGGTGCGGTAGGCGCTGAAGGCCTGGAGCTGCCCCTGCAGGCCGGGGATGCCGCGGGGCAGGCGCCGGTCAGTGAGGAGCAGCAGTGAGCGCTGGATCCAGCCCAGCAGCTCGGCCGCCTGCGCCTCGTAACGGCCGGCCAGGCCCTCGGCCTCGCGCGCCGCCTCCAGAACCTGCGGGACAGGTGGATGTCTGTCTGTCCGTGCTTGTGTCTGTCATCTGTCCATCCATCCATCCATCATCCATCGTCTGTTCTTCCATCCATCCATCC